CTCCTTTAGCCCTGGCTCTGTCCCTGCTTTGGTCCCAGCCTTGCCAAGCTGGCTTTCTCCAGCACACTGGCTTGCTGCCCTCCAATCTTCCTCAGTGTCTGCTGTGTCCTTAGCCGTGGATTTGACACGGGAGCCAGTTTGCCCTTCCCCAGCTCCCAAAGGAGGCACGTCCCGGGAAGTGCAGCCCACCCAGCGCTGGGAGCCTCGTTTTCCAGGTGTGGGGTGCAGGGGGGGTGGGAGCTGCGTGGAAGGCAGGATGCACAGAAGGGCAGGAGCAAAGCTGGTTCCCACCCCTGCCCCGGTGGTGAAGTGGAGCCATCACCAGCCTGAGGGACTGGGGTCAGATGGATGGAAAGGACAGGAACGGAGGAAAAGAGGGAGGAATAAATGGAAAGGGTGAAAAAGGAGGGAGGAAAAGGGAAAGGATGCATAAAGGAAAATGGAGGGGGAAGGAGAGGTGGATAGAGAAAGAAGGAGGGAGGGAAGGGGGAGGGAAGAAGGGGAGGATGGAGAAAGGGAAGGAGGGATGAAGGGAGGGAGGGAACGGGGGCAGACGGGAGGGAGAGGTGGGCTGGCCCCGCCGGCGCCATGTGATGCCCTCTCCTCCCCGGGCTCTCCCGGCGCGGCGCGGAGCGAGCGGAGCATCCCCGGGGCCGCCGGGCGCGTCCCGCGGGGCCGGTGAGTGCCGGGCTGGGATGGGGAGGGCAAGGCCGGGGCTCCTTCCCGTGTCCCGGCCAGGCTGCCCCGGGAACGGGGGGAAATAGTCCTGGGGTCAGCTTCGAGGGGGTGGGGGGTTCGAATTGGATGTAAAACCGTGAAAGTTTAAAGCCGAGGGAAGGGGCATCTGGGAGGCGCCGCCCGGGTGCGGAGCCGCAGGGCTCGGGGCAGGTGTTGCCTGTGTTTTCCACATTCCCCTTGGAGTGGGGACCGGCCGGGAGGGGCGGCGGGGGCACCGCCCCGGGCAGCATCCGCAGCATCCCCGGTGAGGCCCCGGGTACCGGGAGCGCTGCGAGCCCCGGCAGGGAGGGACAGACAGACCCGGGCACCGGCACCGCTCGGGCAGAGGGGTTTGGCTTCGCCAAATTCCCGACGGAAGGACCTGAGCACGAGGAAGCCGGAAAATCCTGGCTCTTCATCCCTGGTCTCCTCATCCCTGGGTTTTCCCCCATCAGGTTGCTCAAACAGGGGCCATCTCTTGGGCACTGTGAGCATCCCCCTCCTCGGCGGCGAGTTTGGAACGTTTAGCTGAGGAACGCGTGTGTATTTTTCACAGGGAATGTAAAATCTGCTGGAAGTCAGCCTGTGAATGTTTTCTCCGGTGTAGCAAACCCCTTGGAGAGGGGAGTGTGAATTTGAGCGAGGCTATCTGAGAAAAACCTGACCTGGTTGTTAAGTGAAGTAAAGTAGAGGGATTAAAAATAAATAAATAAATGAAAGCTGGATCATGTGTTACCATACGAGCAGGGAATGGGGGACATGGAGCCTGTCCTCACTTCTGCATGTGCCACTTATTCATACCCTGTGGAAGGTGGTGAAATGTGAAATGTGGTGTCTCAGCCACGGCGGCAGCGAGAAGGGAGGGTCTGACACGTCCTTTGGATGTTGATTAATTGCTTGACATTTCCTAAAACTTCCTCTAAAACAGCCCCTGATGCACGATGATGGCTTTTTGCAGCTTTTAGGGTTGGGTCTCCCAGGCAGAGGCAGCAGGAGGCTCCTGGGGGTGTGCAGGGAGTGGGTCTGACCTGCGGCACCGCTGTCCCCACCGTGTCCCTTGAATCCCTCAAACCCCTCGGGGGGAGAGAAGGCCTTGTCAGAGCTTTCAGGTGCCTAAAAGGTGCAGGTGAGCCTGTGGAAAGGGCAGCAAGGGCGTTGCATTTGCTGAAGGCAGCACTTCTTCAGCAAGAACCCTGCAAAGGAGTGGATCAGCCAAAGAGGAGCGTTCCTGCTGAGTTTCGTGCAGCAGCAGCAGGTGCTGGTGGCACAACCCAGCCTGGCAGCTCGGCTGGAGGAGCATTCCCATGTTTCCACCACTTGCTGCCCTTTGGTTCCACAGGTGCTTTGTGTCTGTCCTCCCTTCAGAGGTTCATCTGCTGGGTTTTAGGGGCACCATCTCGGTCTGCCACGCTAAAAAGCCAAAGGGCAGGAGTCTGGCTCCCAGCAGCCCTTCCCTCTGCCCTCACACCTTCCCCTCAGGCTGCCCCACGTGGCATCCAGGGCACAGAAATGCTCCTGTGTGTGGCTTTCTCTGATGCCTTGCTGTATCTTGGAGCTGTTGAATATATTCATTGAGCTGAGTGAATTCCCACCTGGCAGCATCCATACCGCAGCATTTGCAGCTTCAGCTTTATTTATGGAGAGGGGAGGGAAGATATAAAATACAAAAGGGGAAATAATGCACAAGCCTGCAGAGACTTCAATGGGATCAGTGAGCTGGGAGCTGCACAGGGCTGGAGAGAACACTGGGAGCTTTTCCTAAGTCAGCTGGAAAGATTTAAACCCCTGGCTTGAAGGTGGCATTTTTAAAATAAGTAGATGATGGAGCCTATGTCAAAAGTTATCTGGGAGTCTAAATCTCACTGAAATTAAAGGGATTTTTTTTTTTCTGGGTGTGTTCTAGAAAAGATGGTTTGGAGCCAGTAACACTGATAACTGTTGTCAGAGTATCTGACATTTATAGTAAAATATTTACTGGGAAAATGGAATTTGTCAAAGGACAACACATATTCCATCATTAGGCTCAGAAAATGGACTGTTACAGATGAATGGAGTTTGTGTTTGGTCCCTGTGGAAGACAGGACTTGCAGCTTTTCCTTTATTATGAGAGAGGTGTCATCACTCTTCAGTGAAAATCCTCATTAGAGGGGTGTTCAGGGCTGCACTGAGGGGGTTATTGGAGTAGACAACATCAGACAACATCCCCTGACCCAGGACAACGTGGGGATAACTCGTTTTCCCACTTGGTGCCCATCCAGTGCTGCTTGGTGACATCCCATCCACAGGGAGCATCCTCAGGACTGTCAGGACAGGACCTGGCTCACCCTCCAAGCCCTAGAGGTGTCTGCAGCAGCTCTGGCTGGGAGTTTCAGGTTGTATGTAGGTGGCAGGAGAGGTGCTGCTGGGTGTGTGCCACGGGAGCCAGAACCTGGTGGTACAAAGGGGCAGTGGGAGAGGAGTGTGGGTAAACACCGGGTACACACAGGGCAAGTTTCACCTGGTGGTTTTTTTTAGGGACAATTACCCCTAAATCCTGGAATGGTAACAAATCCTGCTAAAATCTGGGTGGTAGAGAGTTCAGTACCTCCAATGATGTACAAGTACTCGCTATGTACATGAATATTCCTGACCCAACAAGCTGCACAAGGCAAATACCTTTCCTACAAGAAGATGGGACCAAACTTCAGTGGCTGCTCAGTGTCAGACCTGGAGAGTTGTGCACGAAGAAAGGCATCACTGAGAGCTTCCAGGGAGCTGTGTCCCAAACTGGATGGAGCAGCTGCCGTGTTTGGTGACTGGGTTTAATGGCAGCCACGAGTTGCACTTGGGTTCTGAAGTTGTTTGCCTGAGGTGTGGATGACACAGCCCTTCTCCTCTTTCTTGACACCATCGTTTCAGAGCTCAGAGGCTCTGTGGTAAAGCTGGTTTCCAAGCAAGGAAGGGGAATGCAATCTCCTGGCTAACAAGGCACTGCCCCGTGCTATCAATCATCTTTAATCACACTGAGGGGATGCAGGTCTCAGCAGCCCTGGCCAGCCTGGCCAACCTGCCACTTGTCTGCAGCCCTCAGCATTACTTTGCTTCAGGGATTTCTCACTTTCTCTCATTCATCACACTGAAAATGTTCATAAACCCCCTCCAGCTGCCAGTGCTGGAGAGAGGAGCGGAAGCAGGGGAAGAGCTGCTGCTGCTGCTGCCTCCCCTCCCTGGCTCAGGTACCCCGGACACGGGGGAGTGGAACAGTTTTAATTAGCTCTTGCTGCTATTTTTATCTCCCAGCTTGCTTAATTTAGCTCAAGCTGTCATGCACCGATCGTTAAGGGGAAAAGAAGGAACAGGGGGTGTTGGCCCCTCTCTGCTGAGCAGCCTCAGCTCCTGCACCTGGGCTGTACCTGGGGCTTTTCTTAGACCTGCAGCAGCTGTAAAAGTTTATAGCCTGGAGGCACTTCATGTGCTGGTGTTGATAATACACGACTGCTGCAAGGCTTACAGTGAATGAGTGTGTTCTGCTCACACCCACTTCACTTTAAAACAGCATCAATATCTTACAGAAGAGGTGCCTGAGGTCTTCAATCATGCCATTACCTGCCTTGCTGCTGGAAGGACACAGAGACCTTGAAAAGCTGCCATGTGCAAGGAAGGGGCTTATTCTCCCCTTTTTAATCTACAAGTGACATTTGGAAGTGAACAAGAACCGACTGTTAAAGCTTGAACATCCCACCAGAGCAGCCCAAGCTTGGTGCTGGTGTGAGGGGGATGCCCACAGCTGAGCCAGCTGCTGTCCCTTTATCCCTGCCCCTGGGAGTGCTCAGGCTGCACCAGCCGAGGGAAGCACTGCCCTGCAGCCAGATGAGGGTCACTGGATCGTTGGGTTACAGGAGTTCATGTATTTAGGATCTAAAGCAGAGCCATAATGTACCACAGGCAGAGGTTAATGGGCAGGCCCTACTCCCACAGCACACAGCAGAGAGGTTCCTGCAGCACAGCCCCCAGCTGCTTTGCTTTGCAGCACTGGATATTTCCCCCTTTTATTCTGCTTTTGTAGCTCTTTGCAGGGTATTGAAACCAGCAGTTTGACTGGGGTCCCTGACTGTGAGCACTCTGCCAGGCTGTGAGTAGGAGAATGCTGTGCCAGATTTGAGGGGGAGAGGGAGGACACTGGGAAGGGCTCTGCAAAGGACAGGGCTCAGCTATTGTTAGGGCTGGAAACCTTGAACAGATATAGAGATATATATATATATATAGTTCAGACCTGGAGAACTGGGCCTGGGTGCGTGGGCAATACTGCAAGCTCAGGGTTTTAGCTCCTATTTCCCTCTTGAGAAATGTACTTTGTGTAACGTTTTTTCTGCCAAATCCCAGGGTAGGAGCTGCAGTGGATGCAGAGACCTGCCTGCCACCTGCCTGTCCCCGTGTCCCAGCAGCCTGCAGCCCTCGTGGGAGTCCATCAGAGGTGGAGAGCTGAGGCTGTGCCCCCTCTTGAGGTCCAGGAATTCTCCTCTGCTTGTTTCCAAAGCCACCGCACTCCCAGCTCCTCCCAGACCATCCAGCAGCAGAAAACCTCCACCAAGGACCCTGCTTGCTGTGACACTCTCTTGCAGTCGATCTGCCAGAACTGAACTTCCCACCTTCAGCCTCATCCCAGGTTTTCCACTTGCCAAAGCGTTGCTTCAGCTGGGGTTAAAAGAGGTAAGAGCCTAAAACACCAAGGAGAAAGGAGACATGTGGGTGGGCTGGGCTGTATAAGAGGTTTGGGGGGGGGATATTTGTGGATCCAGAAAGGCCATGTGAATGTGACCAGCTGTACACACATGGACAGTGCCAGCAGCCTGTGAGCCAGGCTGTTGGGTCGATGATTTTATCTGCTGAAAGTTTCTGGCATCACCCAAAGCCATTAGTGTGACATCTGGAGCAGAGCCACGAGTGCAGCAGCGTGGCAGAGGTGGCCTGTTCAGGAAAAGGGTCTGCTTTGAGGGCTGGGCTGGGAAGTAAATCTCTCTTGCTGTTCCTTTGACCTTGGCAATATCATCTGATTTAAGTTTAAGAGGAAAACTCCCAAGTAATCTCACTGATAAGATCAGTCAGTGGTGAGCACTGCAGTGCGTGGGGTCGCACGTCGTTCCTTCCGATTGCTTTTCAGGTGTTCCCTGTGCGTGATGACAGGCACGAAATTAATGGGCTTCTGATGGCTGTGGCTCAATCTACATTTAAATAACTCATCACCAGGCTTCTTTTTATTCATTTATTTACTTTCAAGCCCTCTCTGGAGAGCCCAGAGTGCCCATTGATCCCGCGCTAGCCGTGGGTAATGGCAGAGCCGTCGCTGGAGCTGCTGCTCCCGGCTCAGGGGAGGCTTTCAAGCCCACTATTGATCCTTCTGAAGTTTATGGCTGTTCAGAGTCACAGTCACCAGCCCTCTTTCAAACTGCCACGAAGGTGGGCTGCCTCATTTCTTAGCATGAGGCTAAACCTCCTCCACACGGGAAAGATTTATTTCTGCACTTAATTTTTCCAATACGTAATTTCTCTCTCTGAGATCGAGCTGACGGTTTTATAGGACGCTAATGCAGGTCTGTGAAAGCTGCCTTGTGTATTTCTGTTTTCCCCTGTGCCAGTGGAGGTGGTGGGTGCCAGCAGCTCAGGACAGGGCTCCTGGGAACCCCGTGGACCAGCTCCAACCCACATCCCCTTTGGCCATTTGCCTCTCAGTGTGCCAGTGCAGGAGACACTGCTTTTCTCTGCAGCCATCCCTGCTTTCCTTCAGCTGTTGCATGGAACCAGAGCAGTCCTGTGCTTCCCTCCTGCCTGCAGCACACCTTTTCCAAGCTTCAGGTGGGGCTGTCACTTCCCAAGCTATAATTCCAAAACCAAAACTGTCTTTCCCAGTCACACAGTTTTCCCGGTGTGACTTGTGGAGCTGTTTCTCCTGCATCCCCAAATGGAGCAGTGGGCACTGCCCTCACCATCTCCTCCTCTTCCTCTCAGCTGTGGCTAAAGCATTGCCAACTCTGAAAAGTTTTGTTCTGAAAGAGCCACTCTCCTTGACCTATTTTTTTTTTTTTTGCCCACGTCCATGGCCTGCGTTGTGTCCTGAGGAAGGGATCATACTGCTTGAAGGCCCTTTATTTTTAGCCAGCCCAATTTTCTTGTTGCAGCTTAGTGGGAGCTGGTCCTTTCAGTTCAGCTCCATCACAGCTCACGCTCTCCTGCATTTGATGGCTCTTACCCAGGCCCCTGATGTTCTTTGTGCATCCACTGCTCACTCAGTGGGTTTCCTACTCCACTTTCACAAGCTTAATTCCTTCTCCTTTATGTTCTGCTCAGCCTCTCCCACTACTCCAGGGCCATGGGTTAACCTCTGATTTCCCTCAGCCCAGGTTTGCAGCACAGACCAGGCACAGAGGGGGGTTGCCAGGCTTGCCCTGGATCCCAGCACCCTCCACAAACAAAACCTTCCCTCCCGTCTGCTCCAATAACCTTGGCAGTGCCTCCCCTCCTCACAAACGTCAGGAAATCGGAAATGATGCTCTAGCCACATAAAAATCAATAGCTACCTCCTTGGCCTGGCTTGGCCCTGCTCTTTCTGCCTTCACCCAGGGCAGGAGAGAGCTGCTGTTTTCCACTGAACTCAGAGCAGTGATTTATTGATACTCCCCATCCTGTCCAGGCCGTTGACCAGTGATATATTTATTTTTCCCAGCCCATCCACATAGCCCAGAGCTCTGGCTTGTGCTCAGTGTGAGCTCACAGAGGGGTGGGCTCAGAAAGCTGCCCAGGATATTTTCTTTCTGTGACTGTGGAGAAATAGGTAAGGACTTACTCCTAGATCTGGGTGAACTGTGTTAGGAGCAATGCCAATATTCATTTCATTTCCCAAAGGGCTCAGTCCTAGCAAGGGCCATGTGTAGTTTCCATCAGAAGCTGTGGCTCCAAGACAAGAAGAAATTCATTACAGGGACTTCAGATTACATTGCAGACTGCCTTTATTGTTCCCTGGACTGCTACCAGAGGGCACAGCGTGATCGAAGGAGCAGGAACAGTTCTAAAGTCCCATTTCTTGGAAATCTTTTGGGCTTCATTCATTTAATTTAAAATACAGCTACTGCTGGAAATCAAACAGCATCACCTTTCCAGCCGTGGGAAGCATAACACAATTGATAAAGGTCACTGGGAACTAAATCCTTGCTGAAAATCAAGCCAGTTCCTGTTTGTGTCCTTGTAAAATCTTTCTCCTGGGAGTCCTGCTGATTCTCCAGGTGCTGGACATGGGGGGAGGTTTGTTTTGAGCAGATGCTCGGCACCATCCCTGTCCCCCATCACATCGGGCTGGATCCTCTGTGCCAGCGAGGCAGGAACGGGGATCAGTCTCTGGTGCCTCCCTGATTACATGGAAATTGGAGTGTGAGGGAGCAAAGGAATGAGGCAATTGAGAGGCCCTGCCCCTCTCCCTGCTGCTCACGTCACCCCCAGGACCAGTAAACGATACCAAATGGGTTTATTTTCCAGTGCCTGATGTTGATGGACAACAAATCACAGGAAATACTCAGCTATTTCCCTCTGAGTGGCTTTATCTGGACCTTCACATACTCCCTACTCTGATTTTTGGCTCGTTATTAACGAGAAATGTGCAGGGAAGATGGTTGTTGATGATACACGAGCCAGGAATAGATTCCAGTTCCTTTTACCATTTTGGCACCAAAATGCCAAGAGGGATGAGACACCCTGTAGTAAATGTTGTTCACTTTGAGGCAGCAACTAGAAAAGATGGCTCTGGCTGGGTTAGGGAGATGAATGGGTGAGACAGAGGATCTGAGTTCTGGATAGTCGATTGAGGGACCAAATGGGAATCTACAGAGATGGGAAGTGGCATATTCCCTGGGAAATGGCAGGTGTAGAGCTGATGTGCTTCTCTGCCCCACAGCCACCACTTTCCTCTTTAGCTGCTGCCTCCTAATTCTTCAGAGAAAAGAAAGCCTGAGCATCTCCCCTGTACTTTGCTCCTCACTCCCCTAGCAGGGAGGGTGTTCCTCCTGGGAACACACCCTGCTGTTCTTGAGCTGAGGGAAGCATTAAAGAGGAACATTAAAAACGAGGCTGGTTAGCAAAGCCAAAGGTGGAGGGAAAGCTTGCAGGAGTGTGAGCTGGGCTGTCTGGAGACAGCACTCCCCTTCCTGTAGGTTGGAACCTTCTGGGGAGAGGCACAGTGTGAACGTAGGAAGAGCCAAATCCATAACTTCATATGGAAGGGAATTGTCAGAGCTGTTGCAGCGCTTGAGGGTGCAAGTACATCTGCTTCCTACCAAGATGTACTTGTCTGCTTTGGATCTGGGGTCAGATGCAATAATTAAAGTCTTTCTCTCCCTTTCTCTCTTTCACTCAAAGATTTAATACTCTTCTAACAGCATTCCCTGCTTTTCTCTCTTATTGCTGCCCAGAGCAGTGAGCTGGAGGGGCAGACAGGCCTTGGATATTCCATCTGCTCAGTAAATGCCGTTCTTTGGGCTCCACAGTAACTAAAAGTTTCCTTCATGTTGATCTTGTATGAAATTTGCTGCAAGCCCTGCCCAGGATGGGATGTTGGGGATCTTGGTGCTCTGGATTTGTGAGACAGCTGGGGAAGGGCCCTGCAAGAGCATAAGATAAGGAATATTGGATGTTCCCTGAGAGCGCCCAAGCAGCAAGAATCCACTCTCAGCCTCGTCTGCTTGTATTGACCACAAGGGAACCATGGCAGAACATTATCTTGGAAGGCTTTGGGTCTAAAAGTACAAGCTGTGAGGACTTTTGGCATGTCTGAGAGTCACTGTAAGCCAGTATTAATACGTTTCCATCAGAGGCACTAGGAAAAACCACCCTCCTCCAGTCTGCTCACCCGGCCATGTCGGAACAGCGGGTTGTCATCTCCTGGTCCAGGCAGGATTTGTGTCTCCTGATTTAATCACTAAACCCACCACCTTCACCAGGGTGATAACAGCAACAGGGCTTCTCTCCAAAGAGCCCATTCACCCACGTGCACCCTGATGGCAAACATGGGCTGGATGGAGCCGCTCCTGAGGGGTGAAGTTTTAAAGAGAGTTCAAGGAAGATGCTTCCTGCTGCTAAATCTGGTGGCTTTTGTTGTCTAGCTGGATTTATATGTTTTTTCCGTATTGTTTGCTGTGCTGAAAAGCAGCGAAATGTGCCTTGGAAAATATACATGACACGGCACTTATGTGTGATTCATCCTGCCTTTCTGAAAGCAGTCAATAGCACTATCTGCCTCCTTCCCACTCCCCAGAAGACCATCTCCTGCGTGTATCTTTTTCCTTCTTGCTCTTATTCCTTTAATCTTTCATTGCTGTGGCTTTTCCCCCCTCCCCAAATTAATTGCACTTTTCCCTCCGCTGCACCAAGAACTCTGATTTCTGGTGATATTTTATCAGTCTGCAGGGCACCATGAGAACCACTAAATTCCCCAACTTAGCAAGAATGCAATAAAATAAAAAAAAGAGAAAAGGTTCAATACATAAGCAACATGGGGATGAGGGAAGTTTTTCCTTTAATGTTCGCCCAGGGCCTGGCTGCAGCTTTCTGCTTCCTTTCCCTGCCTCTCCACAAAGCACAAGATGGGTTTGGACCCAGCTCTGATCCAGCAAGAAAAATAAACAGAGAAGAAAGGCAAGTTATTGTGTCATGGCACTGCTTCAAGGGGTTCGCTGATGTCATTCAGCGTAGCACGGTCTTTGCAAAATCAGCATCTTGATTCCCCGAGGGATAAATGTACCCTGGACGAGGAAAAGCAGAATTACTGGGGGAGTGTGATGGTGGTGGGAGCTGCTCAGAGGGGGAGGTTGGTCCAGCAGCTGTAAGCACCTCTGTTGATCCATCATCTCAGTGCCCATGATCCTCAGCAGGCTCCTGTGCCCAGGAGATAACAGCTCGTGCTGCTTTGCCTCGCGGGACCATTTGATAAGGGCAGATAAAACGCTGTGCTTCAGCTACATCCTTGGGGAGACTCGTGCCAGGTTGGGCTGGAGAAACAGGAATTCACCTGCAGAAAAGCAAACAGGAGCCAAGGAGCTGCTCCCACCCAACCCATCCCAATCCTGTCCTCAGCACCCCCCGAGCCAGCGCTGGGGCACCAGTCGGGTGGGATTTGGTTCAGACTCTCCCATCTGTCACTGATCGTTTTAATGGCTTGTTTCAGCTCAGCCTGCACGAGGCAATCCGGGGCAAAGCTTTGGCACGTCCTTTCCCCGGATCGTGCTGCCGGATCCGCCCGCTCTGCCCGCCCCAGCCCCCGATGCTGTCGGGCATGAGCGCCTGCAGCAGGAGGGCGCTGACCCTGCTCAGCAGCGTGTTCGCCGTCTGCGGCCTCGGCCTGCTGGGCATCTCTGTCAGCACCGACTACTGGCTCTACCTGGAGGAGGGCATCGTCCAGCCCCAGAACCAGACGGCCGAGATCAAGCTGTCGCTGCACTCGGGGCTCTGGAGGGTCTGCTTTCTGGCAGGTGTGTTCTCACCCCCCAAAAAAACCTCCCCTGTTATTTACGTGGTTTATATTTATATGTTTTATAACATAGAAACAGATATATATATATATGTTATGTCTGTTTATATATAAATGGATAAATATCTGTGTATTTATAATGTTTGTTGTCGTGGTCATCCCGTGGGAAACGGCCAGGAAACACGGGATTTTTAGGAGCTCCATTCATCTTTGCTTCCAAACTCAGGCCCTTGCCCAACTTTTAGCAGTCTGGTGGATAAATGTGCCTTTCCACACAGGTTTTGGGGGGGTTTGATGCTGCCATGCCGGGCCCACCTGTCCCAGTGCTGTGGCCTTGGGCAGCAGCTCAAAACTTTCCCATTTGGTCCCTGCAGAATTTAGATTCAGGTCAGCTGGACCGTTCCCTCCGTCCCTGCCAAGTGTGATGGAGCGACTTGGCTGCAGGAGCAGAGCGGAATAAAACCTGAGGGAATGGGAATCTCAAAGTGACCAGCCTGAAATGTCACCAAGTTTCAACTGCTGCTTTGAAAAAGTCAGGGTGGGGTGTGAGGGACTCTGATACCACCCCTGGGGTGACTTTAAAGCCTCTGGCTTCAAGGGTTCACATTTGTGTGTACAAGGAAATGGTATTTAAGAGGTGTCTTTCTTCCACCTCAACCACAGACAGAGAATTTGGGGTTTTTTTGGGGGAAGAGCAGCTTTAAATTGAATTTCCATGCATGCATAAAACCAGACAAGCACAGTGCAGGTGTGACTTGGTCTGTGTCTGCTGCAGGCGAAGAGCGTGGCCGGTGCTTCACCATCGAATACGTCATGCCCATGAACATCCAGCTGACGTCTGAGTCCACAGTCAACGTCCTGAGTAAGTGGTTCCAGGGGAGTCTCACCTTGCAAAGCACCAAGGGGGTCACTTGTGACTCCCCCAAGAAATCCCCTTTGTGTCTTTTTGCCAAAGAAACTCCGAGTTGTAGATGCAACTACTTTTTTTGGCTCTGTGAATCACCCAGTGCGCTCCTAAGCTTTTGGGGACATCCCTTTCTAATGGCAGGGTGCTCACAGAGGCTCTAAGCTGTATGATTTCCCCTGACTGGCTATTCAGCACTAATGTTTATCGAAGTGTTTGGCTTTTTAGTCTCCTCTCCATAATTTGCAGCTGTATTTATTCCCTAGCAGTCAATTTTACACATTATATAGTGGGATGAATTAAGGATGGAGTGTCACAGCTCTCACGATGAATTCTGCAGTCATTTCGGATTTAATAAATAGGAGTGTTCTGCAAACACTTATGGGGTGAAGCTAGAGAAAAATACAGGTTCTGATGTTTTTTTCCCATGCAACACTTCCCACAGAAACCCTCAGAAACACAAACATTGGCAGAGTCACCACCACGGTGGGCAGGCCCTGGCACAGGTTGCCCAGAGAAGCTGTGGCTGCCCCATCCCTGGGAGTGTTCAAGGCCAGGCTGGTTGGGGCTTGGAGCAACCTGGAATAGTGGAAGGTGTCCTGACCTTGGCAAGGAACGTTAAGATCCCGTCCAACCCAACTCTTCCTATGATTCCATAATTCTGTGTTTTACTCAGCGGAGTAGCAAAGAGGGAAACCCCAGACACAACATGGTCAGAGCAGCAGGGCTGGAGCCATCTCACCCAGCCCATTTCTCACACTGTATGGGGAGGATTAATCTGTTCTCACTTCCCTCTGCTCCTCTACTGACAGAGATGATCCGCTCTGCCACCCCATTCCCTCTGGTCAGCCTCTTCTTCATGTTCATCGGCTTCATCCTGAGCAACATCGGCCACATTCGGCCCCACAGGACCATCCTCGCCTTCGTCTCGGGGATTTTCTTCATCCTGTCAGGTGAGTTTTGCTACCAGCTTTTCTCCTGGCAACCTTTGAGCACGGAGCACATTTGCTTTGGTAGCTGCTGGTGCTCTCCTGACCCGCTGTGGTGGCTCCTTGATGGAGTCATCACCCACAGGGGCTCCCAGCTCAGCCCTGCAGCCTGACCTGCTTTTGTGGGATGGAAAACCATCCAGTGCAAAACTCATTTGTGGAAATGGGGAAAAAGCCCCCACCACGTGCAGGAGCAGGTGCTGGAGGAGAGGATGCTTCTCATGGCACATCAGTCGCAGGAGAGATCAGAAACTTCAAACTGCTCAGTCGGGATGTTTCTACAGGAGAAAAGGGAATGTTTTATTCATGGTGCTGTGAGAGTGTTAAACAAATAGCTGTGACAGCTGAGCTTTGAAGTCAGCTCCTTACCAGAGCCGCTGCCTCCTCCCCAGCGCACACAGACTTGCCTGAGCAGGTAATGCTTTGACTGAAATGAGAGGAGTGCCCTGGGTTAGCGCAGCAGGAGGGAGGGCAGCCCCTTTCCCAGTTATTCCAAGCACAGTTTTTTAGTTTCCCCCACAAGTCAGGTCTTAAGGAAGGTGCTCCTTCAGCCCTTCATCCCTGACATGTTTCCCACTGTCCTTCTCCAGGTCTGTCCCTGGTGGTGGGGCTGGTCCTCTACATCTCCAGCATTAACGACGAGATGCTCAACAGGACCAAGGACTCGGAAACGTTCTTCAATTACAAATACGGGTGGTCGTTTGCCTTCTCTGCCATCTCCTTCCTTCTCACAGAGGTACCCAGCAGCTCTCACACCCCTGTGTCCCGCTCTCAGGGGTGGGCACATCGAGGCTGTTGGCAAAAAGAGGACTTGGGTGGGGTTTAAGGCAGGGCTGTGAGGGCAGAGGGGTAAAATACAGCGTGAAGGGAGACAGGGTGGGGACAGACCCAAGCCTGGCGCGCTGATGGGGCACTTGATGACGATTTGATGCCAAGGAGGAAAATGCAGAGGAGGAGGAGACGTGGTTGTGCTGCATTATTTAGTGCATGGATCCCAGGCACAGGGCGGTGAAGTGACAGCCCTCAGGTGCCTTTGTGCATCAGCAGCAGAGCAAAAAAAACCAGGGATTTATGTTTTGCTCTGTGCCGGTGGCGGTGGAGGAGGCAGCCGCGCGCAGGGTGGGCGTCAGGCCGTGTCTCTCTCCCGCAGAGCGCCGGGGTGATGTCCGTGTACCTGTTCATGAAGCGCTACACGGCCGAGGACATCTACCGGCCCCACCCCGGCTTCTACCGGCCCCGCCTGAGCAACTGCTCCGACTACTCGGGGCAGTTCCTGCACCCGGACGCGTGGGCGCGGGGCCGGAGCCCCTCGGACATCTCCAGCGAGGCGTCCCTGCAGATGAACAGTAACTACCCGGCCCTGCTCAAGTGCCCCGACTACGACCAGATGTCCTCGTCCCCGTGCTGAGCCCCGACGTCCCGTCCCGCTCCCGCTCCCGACGGTCGACGCGCCCCGACTCCCGTCTGTCATTTTTTTTTAGGCCACTCTTTGAGGCCACTTCTCTATTTATAGGACCGTGAATATAACCAGGGAGATGGGTTATATAACCAGTAGTGTAACCTAGAGAATTGGGATGTTTTCCTTTCTTTGTTTGTTTTTTTTTTTGGGGGGGGGTTGTTTTGTTTCTCCCCGCGTAACTAAAGATCTCTCCAAAGTCCTCTTCTCTCAGCTCGTCCCGCTGAGCAAACAGCAGTTCTGCCTGGGGGGATAAATCCAGGGCTGGACTCGAGAGCAGGAGAAAGAAAATAGAGTAGAACTAAGGAAAAAAAAGTGTATTTTTTTGGTGTAGGTAAGTAGGCTGCAAAAGTTTGTGCATTTGACTGCATCATTTAATTATATATTTACTGGCCTAAGTGCCAGCAGGCGTAAAAGATCTGTGTAACTTTCCAAGAAATAACCAGCATTAGAAAAATAGAAATTTTGTCTTGATTGATTCTATATTTACTGATTGATATCTCTCAGTGCCGGATATCAATTCCAACCAGGCTGTAATGGGAAATAGCCATCATTCTGGACAATACCTCAGCAGGCTTGGACACAAGCAGGTTGTTCCTCTATGGCTACTTGCAAACTGTTGCTTAAATATCCCCTGTTAGACTGGAGGCACCCTGGTGGGGTGGCTCCAGCACCCAAATTTCCTCTGCCATCCCATAGACAGGAGGTCTGAAGAGCAAATGGGAGAATTTCAGTGCAGCGTCGACTGGGAAACAACCTCAACCCTTCCCATGGGAAACATTAGATGCAGGATTTAGTGAGAGTTATGGCCAGAAGTTCTTCCAGTGAAAGGCAAGATCCCAAAACAGTGCAAAGTGATGGAGCTGAGACTTATGGCACAAGTCCAGTGCAGCAAAGTAGTTGGCTTATATTTCATTTTGGCAAGAAAATGGTACTTTAGCTGCTTTTTGTGCGTGTGTATGAAACTTACTCTGAGGTTTTCAGTTTCGAAATTTCTTCTGATGCTTTGGCATTTTGGCCTCAGCCAGCTGCCAGGGGAGAGCATCACCCTGATGGAAAACAGGGCAGGGGAGGAGCAGGCTGTGCTCCCTTGGGCTCCCCTGTGCGAGTCCCATCTCATCACCGTGCAAGAGAAAGAGCTTTGTCCAGACTTTATTTCTGTTCTTGTTATTTTCAACCTCTCTGAAAATTTTGTTTCTGCAGAACAAAACTGTCCGAAGATTCTTGGTCTATTTGAGCTTGTTTTGTCTTACTGTGATTAAAAGAAATAGAATATACACACTTTTAATCTCATTTGTAGCACGCTGGGGAATGAATGTTGCACCTTGTTGTTATTATTTAATATTAATATTAATATTTATTATTTTGATATTTATTAATATTTATTATTTTAATATTTATTATTTATTATTTATAAGCTCCACCAAAGTAGAGTCTAAGTCCAGGTGCAGCACCACTCTTTGCATGGATTCCAATGCCCATTCCACAGGACTTCACTGCAACTTTATTTCCAGCCAGTTCTTGAACAGGATTATTCCTCTCCAGTTCCTTCAGATAAGCAAGTAACGTATATCTAGTGTATATCTAATGTCTCTGACTCCTGATTTGCTAAGCTTTAAAACCAGGGTATCATTTTGTAGACACAGTTCTATTTACCCTCAGTTTTTTTATTACCCATGAGCATTTATGTTCTCACTTAAGCACCAGTTTGGAAGTGCTACATGACAGGTTTGCTGCTGCTTCAAGCATTAAAGCACAATCCAGCCCCATCATCCAGCAGCAAAGTTGGTTGGTCCTCAGCCAGATAAACCACCAGTTTTCCATCAGGATCTCCATGTTCAGTGTGAATTTTGCTCCAAGAAAACACTGGAGTTCACAAGCAATGATTTTGCATTTCCTAGAGCCTGATCTAGTTTGCTGGGCTTGACACTGGTGTTTTCTGGTGGCTCAGAGGCAGTTACCTTTGCATCTTACCCTTGGTGGATCTTATATTCTCAGTCCTTCTTGTAAGGGAGATCTTCAGGATCCTCAAAGTCGCTGATGCTCAGAGGGACAAGGGCTGTCCCACTGTTCCCTCACACTGGGGAGTCATTTCTGGGGTTAATCAGGAGGTGTCCCTGTCCCCAAGTGGAATTTTCTTTGGTACTGATTAAATACAGAATTACTCATTTTATAAATGAAAATGATTGCCTACATAAGCAGAAAAAAAAATTTAAAAACCCTTCATGCCTTCCTCAAGGCCCCAGAAGGTTTATCAGAGTCTAGGGGCGAATTAGAAAAGTAATTATTTTCATTCATTGGAGAGATTACATTTGTGAGCCTGGGAGTTCACACATTCACCCAGTGAGCACAAATAAGTGCAGGACTGCCAAAAGGAATCTGTCAAAGTAAGTGTTTGCTGTTGGTCCAATAAGTGCTGGGTTTTGGTAGGATAACGTGGTGTTTAGTAAAGCACAGGCAGCAGTGGTTGTGCCTCCAGGTGCTGTTCCATCCCTCCAGAAGTGTGGCAGCAGCTCTCACTGTGGATGGCTCAGCCCCCTTCCCTCCTTCAGTCCCTCTCCCACCCATTGCAGCCTCTCCCTGTGCTCCCTCCCTGCCTGTTGCTTTGATTGCAATAAATGAAAAGTGGAGTTTTGAGGATAAGCAACCAATTAAATTCGAGGTTTTACACCCTAGGACTGAAGTCCTTAAATTCTCCCGGTGGGATGAGCCAGGCTGCTCCCAGCCCCGTGGGAAGGTGACTGCTTGTCTGACACTGCACAGGGAACGGTTTGCACTTGGAAGCAAAAAAAAGCCTTGCTTTGCATGAATGACTAACTGGTGTCAGACTCTTTGTGCACGTGGCTGTGTCTCCGTGTACTGGAGCATTAGAATGAGTTACTGGGATTAAGGGTTAAATAAAGCCCGATCCAGGAGCAGTTCCCCTGCTCGCTCAGGACTGCAGTGGGCTGAAGCTTTTGCTGTCCCTGCCACCAGCCTCCCACACACAGACATCCACCCTGCAGCCCGGGTGCTGAGTGGAGCTCGTGGCACGGGGAGAGATGAATGGGAGCTGCAGGAATGGCACAGGGGAGGTGAGAGAACCCCTGGCTCAGGGGAGGCCGGTTGGGAAGATGGGATGCTCTGGGTTTTTCTCAGGGAACTCCCAGGAGCCACACTCCCCCTCTGTGGGGTTTTTAAATCAAATCCCCTTTCTGTAAGCCCAGAGAGGCATCTTGTGCTCTGTGTCTCCTCCTCTCTGCCATCATCCCCCACTACTGTCCTTGTTCACTCTCACATCACGTCACTCCCATGGTGTGATGGGGCCCTGGTGGGACACAAGCTCCATTTGCCCCTCAGTAGTGTCCTGAAAACCCTTAATGAATCATGAGCTATGGATGCACGAGTTCATTAGACACCAATCACGAGCAGTAATTAAGTAGCCAGGAGTAATAAGGCCGTGCTGGGTCTTGCTCTCCTGCAGCTGCTCCTGGAGCAGCTTGAGGCTCCAGAGCCCATTCTTGCCCAGTGGAAAAAATATGATTTATATCTAAATTTATATACAGGTATGGATGAACTGCCCTTGCAGCTGTGTGGGCAGTGGGCACAAGGAGCCACTGCAAAGGTTCAGGTGAGGCACAAGACCCTCTCGGACAGTAACACCCTCTGAGCAGACGTGCAGACCGAGAGCCCTGCTGAGCTCTTATGGCTGCTGGTGAAGCTTCTGCTGAGGTGAGATGAGGTTGGGCAGGTGTTTGGGGGCAACCTGGTCCTGCTTTTGCCCAGGAGGATGTCATGGAGCTGTTGCTCAGGTAGGCAAGGGGAGAGCAAATCCCTACAGCTTGGGAAGTCCCAGATGAATCTTGGTGTGGCATCATCTGGACACAGGGTTGAAGATCTGTGCTCTTGGCTTCAAGCAGACAGGACCCAAAGGTATTTTCCTAGGGCTCCAGGGTTTATTAGTGTTTCAGCCACATGCCATTGTGGCAGGGGAAGCAGCTGGCTCGGGCATGGTGTTTCCAGCTCACAGTGCTCTGCTCTCGAGCCCTTGTGTTGCATTATTAATACAATTTGTCAAGGCTGTGTTATTCGTTTTCCCAAATGTGAGTTGGCCCCATGGGCTATTCAAGGTGTGCTGAGAAATTAAATAGTCTTATTCCTCCCTGCTGATACCTTGTTAGCTGTGCAGAGCTGGTGTGTCTGTGCTGGGGATGCTGTGGGAACAGGCAAAATATTCACCTGAGTAAATATTCCTCTACTAATGAGAAGTAGCTGAGAGATATTTATTTTCTTCTCCCTTCTTTCCTTATGAGATTTATTTGTTTGCTTCCTAATTTTTTCCCCAAATTTGCAGTCAAACCTAACTAGAAAAACCAGCATTTTTCTCATCCAGTTTTGGGGCTCCTGGTGGGGTGTCCTTCACCCCACTGCAGCACCCGTTGTTCCATCAGTTCTTTAACTTTTCTTTCTGCAAACTGGCTGCACCACAGCCGTCCTGGACACACAAAAGGGGTGTCCCCAGCACCCTGGCTGCTCCATGGGTGCCACCTCACATGCCCAGGGTGCTCCAGTGACCTTTCCTCCCTGCACCGCAGGGCTGCTGTCTATAGTGATTGTGTAGATGTCAAATCCCACCCTGTTCCCATGGATACAGTGGAATGGAGAGAGGGAAGAGCTGCCTCTTTGCTTTAGCTTCATGTAGGTTTTTACAGACCTCAGATTTTGGGTTGCAGTGACCTTGGTGGGCAGGGGTTATAACTGGCAGGAAACGGCTGCAGTGATCACCCCGTGTGTCTTTAATTGCAAACCAGTTCCCCAACCCTTCTTCTTTTCACACCACTTCATCTTTGAACCTCTGGTCAAATCAGTCTTTTAGTCAACTTTGCAGAAGAAAGATTCTTTTTTTATTATTATTGTTACAATTTACAACACGGGAAAGCACTGTTTCAACCAGAAAAATTAACCCCACTGCACTGTGTTGCCAGATTTTACCCCAAGGGCTGGATTTGAGGAATACATTGGCTCTAACGGGATATTTTCAAGTCTTGAGCAGTTTGTACCATGTGTTCTGCAGGCTCTGTCCAGCATTTTTTAATCAAACCACTGCAGAACTCCCCAAGCCTCACCCCTCTCTCTATTTCCAATGAAAGGAGAAGTATATCACAAATAGTGATTAATATGCCTTGAAAATACACAGCACCAGCAGCCAAGGTTATTCCCCAATAACCCATCATTTTTGTCGTGGGCTCTGGATAAATCTGGCTGTGATGAGATGCAGCTGTTTTTAATCTTCAGTGTTAGGGCAGTGTGAATTCATTTTTCTTAGAGGCAGACCAGGTGTGACAGGGGTGCAGAGAAGATGTTCAGTGGCTTGGGCTCCTTCAGGTTTGCAGCTGCTTCGACTGAGGTTGGTGCAGCTCCATCTGCCCAAAGGGCTGCGATTGCCAGCACGGTGAGTGCTGGCTGAACAGCTCATTTTGGAACAAAGTCACTCATCCCAACCAGCACCTCTAAATCTGCACGTAGGCAAATCCCTGGGCCCGAGATTCAGCTTTGCTGCTGATCAGCAAAGTGTGTAGGCACGTGCTGGAATCCCTGGGACTCCATCTCGGAAGCAAAATGAAACCCAAGAGAAGCTCTGCTGAACAAGGGCTGTCTTTGTTTTAACAGCACCTGGGAGGGGGGTTTAGTGACAGGGGAAGTGGAAGGCACAGAAGAGGAGATAGTACAGAGACACGACCACAAGTTTATTATTTTCCTGCAGTGATAACATCTTTAATGAGGTGTGTGTTCATGGAAACGTAACCCTGAGGTTCTTGCATCCGCCTGGCGCCCTGACACGTGCCAGCAGCCTGCTGCAACTGCAGGGGGAGAGCTGCCAAGGAAGCTGAGAGGTGTTATTTAATTAATAACAGCTAATTTGAATAAATACCAAAATGTCACTCTGCTGCTCTGGGGGGGAGTGTGGTGATTTCACCTCTGTGGGAAAGGGGACAGGGTCGGTGTCACACACAAGAGGAAGGAGCAGCAGTGTCTGTCGTGGCAGTGCAGGTCAGACGCTGCTCATTGCTTTATATTTAATAAGTAAATCTCTGGCATTCAGGTTCAGCATAATTGGGTGCTGTGTAGGCCCTAATGCTGGTTTAATCTGCCTTCAGCTCAGCTCATCAAAGGCTGCTGAAATGAGGGGATAAGGAAAGAATCCGTGGCCCTTGCAGAGGCTGCGTAGTGCCCAGCCAACATCTGACTTTGAAATTATATGGCTTTTAAAGCTGTCTTGCTTCAGTGTTAAAGAAGCTCAAACATCAGAGTGAAAGCTCTTGTTTATCCTTGAAAAGCAAATCGTGCTTTATTTTAGCAGAAATTACAGGGTCTGTTTCTTGACAGAGCATCCCCAGTTCCTGCTGGGCTTAAGAAACTTCAGAATGACCCCTGTTTGTCCAGGACAATAGGATTATATATTATTTAGTATTATTGTTCATAATTTAGATAAACAGACGCCTCTCCAGCAGTGCAGAACACATACATCTGAAATCCCCATCAAATTATTTATTTCCATATAAATTATGTACTGTCAAAACTGCTCTACTGATCTGAAGGTTAAAGGCTTCATCACAGAAATGCAGCAGCTCCCCATCATCTCGATCAGGATGTGATTATTTACAGAAAAAAGCATCCTGGTGGCTGTGGATTTCCTATTGATCTGCTTCAGCAGCTCTGTCTGACTGGGAACAGCTGAAACACATGAAATAAAAACACGAACCTACAGTTGTTTTATCTTCCCATAAAAAGTAGGTCACATCCCCAACTGAGCTGTATTTTATTCATGTAAATACATTTTTTACAATTAAAAATGCAACAAAAAACTGTGTTCATGTCAACAGAGCTGAGCCTGGTGAAACTGGGTTAGGGCTGGTGCCTGGGCGTCCTCAGGCAAAGCCTTGCTGATGGTGGGGCAGGTCCCTCCTGCCTCTGCCGTGGGATGGGAGCCCAAACCACCTGTTTTGGAGCAGGAAAGTGAGAGCAGGAGAGGAGTGAAAGCGCTTAAAGCTCTCCAGATTGAGCTCCATATAGGAATAATTACGGCTGCTATTTTAAGGAGTTGTTTAATAACGTTAAAGCGGTGACAGGCTGAGATGATCACACTTGCCACCTCCGCGCTCCTGGGGGCTTTTTCTTCCCCACTCCCACCCCTCTCACACACACCCCCCCCCCCCCCTCAGTTAGTTCTGATATATTTGCATTTTTTCCAAGCCAATTATCGTGCTCCAAAAGCTCTTGAGCAAGCTGGGAATGGCTTTGCACGAGAGGAGAATACCAGGCATTGGAGTACAACAGCAAAGCCATTAGCTCCTCTCCTGGTGTGCACCTGCAGTGTGCTCAGCAGCGACATCCACGTTGCCATCTGGTCCTGGAAAATACCTGGGGGCGAATCAGAACTTCTTCTGGGGCTGAGAGGTCACCCCTCAGGTGCCACCCCGTGCTGTGACCCGTGGCACGTGCGGGCCTGCAGCCCGTGGGAAAACACACCTCTGACTCAGTACCCCTGTTTCTAAAACAGGAACTGTATTCTTGATGGGCATATTGGTACTTTGGGAGCTTTGTGCGCCCTCAGTACGCACACAGATAATTAATGATGGGTTTTTGGGAGGTTTAATGTCTCGTTGGTGTGCATGGTGATGAGCCCTGAGCTCCTCTTTGCTCCCTCCCCAGTGCAGGGCTGTGTGCTACCCTGCAACAGAAATTAGAGCTGCTCACGGGAACTGCCCTAAGAGGGATGTCAGGGCTGTCTTAGGGACCTGCAGCACCGAAAAATTAGAGCCTGAAACAA